ATGTAGACTTGGTGATTAAATTGTACAAATATTTCAAAACATTACTTTTTTTTTTTTATCCAAATCAAATCAAATAAATGCAGCCTTGGTGAGCATAAGAAACATTTAAAAAAAATCTTACTGACCCCAAACATTGTAGTGTCTACATTACAGGTATTTTTTTAAAACAAAAGACAATATTTTGAATAGAAATTAATTTCATATATGGTAGGGTAATGATGGTTAAACATACGAGGAGGGGTCGTCAGCTCCATTCAGTGAATCAGAGGCAAGGTTACGAGCGATGGTGTGGAAGTGTGTCCATGTCCATGTGCACGTTCATCTTCATCTCATTCTCCAGAATTTGCACTAGTTGCTGCATGGAAGGCAGATGGCCTGACTCCAGCTTGGACCAAACTGGAACATCTAACCAAAAAATGCACCAAAATAGTGTCACTATGGTGATAATACAACCACGCCATTTTGCTAACTTCCGCCAGACTAAACCACCGAATTAGGCTATCGCCACACTGCTTCTCTTTAAAGATGTCAACAAACCCGTATGCTTAACATGTCTGATAGACAGAGAACAACTGTAATTCTTCTGATTTGATAAACAATTTCTTACATAATACATTTTCTATGTGCTATTCCATAAAAAGAGCTTGAATGCCATGGGTCAAGACAGATTATGTTTTACTGAAAAGGGTCATAAAAAGGATTTTCTAAACTTCGAAATCATTCAATCATCCCATTTAAAAAAAAAACAAGTATGTACGGGTTTAGGTAAATTAATATACAATAAATATACTACAAATAAAGTAACTTATTATTAAGAAACAGATATTATATAAACAAAAATTTAAATTATAAACATTTAATGCTCAATTTAGGAATCAAATACGCTTACCATTGAGTGTGATTTCAAAAGCACCAGTAGACATACACTGATTCTCGATCATATTGCTGAAGAAGAACACCATCATACAGGCATATATCTAAAAAAAACAAAATAATAATAATAATAATAAATAAAAAATAAAATTAAATTAAACATGCATTGCTGCAGCTAGTTTGTTTGTACATACTTTATACTTTATTTTGTAGATGGTTTATACATAACTTGTGTGCTACTTTTTTCACACTGAAACGTACAAAAAATAATAGTAAAAAATAAAATGTAAAGAATGCCGAAGGTTTTCTTCTGTACTTTTAAGTCCGCATGAAATAAAAAAAAAAGTTCATTTTGTTAGCGCCCATTGCTAGTCTTGAGGTGAACAATATATCCGTGCAAGTTAATCCACTGAAAAAAAATTGTTTGTCTTGGTAATCTTTAATCAAAATCTGAATATTTGTTTCCGCTCTGAAATAGCATTCATTCCTTCTCTCTTCAATATTCTGTTTCAGTTGGAAATACGTCACTATACTGAAATAGAGTTGGCAACAGCTTCTGGTTCACGTGGACTTTAATGCCTACATTTCAGAAATAGTGCAGAAAGAGTCAGGTGAACATTAACATGGGAGCTTGCTCTTTGGTCTCTAGTGTATTACACTCTCCAATAACCACAGACGTCACTGAGGTGTTACAAAGTTACAAACTAATGAGCTCCATGGGGAAAAAGTTTGTATTGGGAACCTACTACTCAAATAGATTTCAGTTAAGAACAAGAATCTAAACCATCAAATGAAAAAATCTCAGGAAAACAGGAAAAGTCTGAGGTCCTGCCTTATTCTCCTGACTCCAAACCCAGAGACCTGGGGCCTGCATGCCAAATAGAGCAAATGGATCCTTGCCCACAATGATCACGCCGATTAACAATAACTTAAACATAGACAGAAAGGAAGCAATGTGCCTGGGGGGGGAAGAAAAAAAAAGACACTATATGAATAAATAATTTACATGCACATACATACACTAGTAGAATTAGTAGCATTATTGTTGTAGTACTGTTACTGTTCTGTTTTTTTTTTTTACAGAGACACTAAATGACCAACAATGCCTCAAGCAGCCCATAATTCTTTAAATCCATTTTAATATAAATGTATTCCTTTGATGCAAAGTTGAATTTTCAGCATCATTAGTCCTATATTATTCAATGTCACATGATCCTTCAGAAATCATTCTAATATGATGATTTGCTGCTCAGTTATTATTAGTGCTCGGTTATTAATAATGGTTCTTATTATAATCAATGTTAAAAACAGTTTTTGCTGCTCAATATTTTGTGGAAACATTTTTCAGGATTTTTTTTTTGAAGAATATAAAGCTCACAATAAAAGCATTTTTAAAAATAGAATCTTTTGTAACATTATACGGTTTTACTATCACTTTTGATGCATAATGAATATTTGCTGAATAAAAGCATTCATTTCTATAAACAACACACACACCTCAAACATTTGAATGGCAGTATATAATGGTTTCTGCAAAAATATTAAGCAGTGCAACTGATTTTAGTATTGATAATAATAATAATAATAGTTTCTTGAGCAGCAAACCACCATATTAGAATGATTTCTGAATTATCCTGTGAAAAAAAACCTCAGCTTTGCCATCACATAAATTAATTACATTTTAAAACACATTACAATAGAAAAGTTATTTTAAATTGTAATACAATTTCAAAATATTAGTGTGTTTGTTTTATTTGTGAGCACATAAATGCAGCCTCATTAAAAACATTTAAAAATCATAATATTTCCAAATATTTGGAAGTCTGGTGATTCTTTTGCAAAGATGTGCGAGTGTGTGTGGCCACAAGGATAGAAGACATGTAAGTGGTTTGTAAGTAATTACCTGTAGATAGGCAGTGGAAGGTAGTTCTCTCCTTCTATGCGGATGTCTGGGTACCGCTGGTTCAAAGCCTGCGTGTACTCCTCGAGCACCCGCTTGTATCCTCAGGAGACACTGCAGAAAACAAACAAGATGATGAAGACACACCTCAGAGTCTTTGGCTCACTACCACAGGGTGGCATGAAATACAACAGACTATTGTGCAGTAACTACACAAACAATGATTTCCATTTCAGACTGTGATAAATGACCTGCCACTAATAAAAGCAGCCTCAAATTGGCTTTAGAAATCCATAAATGCTGCATTATTAAACGTGCAGCGTCTCAAATGCCTAAGTGCAAGCACGCAGACATATGGGCTAATCCTCAAATGACAGCCCTCCGCTTAACACCGGATTACTGGACGATTATAACATCCTACCGAGGTTATCTGCGAGACTACTTGTGCCATATGAGACAAATTAACGCTTGTCTTTGTATACTGTGACCGTACACATTCCGTTGCTTAGAGTAAGTGTGGTTAATATCTCTGCGAGGTTAATCACGTCGAGCAGCGCTATTATCAACACACTCAATGTCATACACTGGTCGGCTTGTACCGGGGACCGACCGACATAAAAAACGCCCAAACTCTCACTCACCAAATCTGGAATTTGAGAAGAGGACCCGTGGCAAACTGCACCTTCATTTTCTTGACGCCACTGTTATCCGCAGAGGCACTGTAAAGGCAACAGGCCCATAATATTACAACCGAGAGAGGTAACCAACGCATCTCCCCCACGACGATTAGTTACTGAACTGAAAACAGGAAGTGGTGTACTGGATTTCATACGGGTGATCCAGTAAACCACGCTGGGATTGGTTCGCGATTGCTTGACGTGGAGTCACATATTTTGACGAAGAAAGTCTCAGTTCCACGAATCAGTTCTTTTGAACATTTCGTTTCAAAGAACCGCTTCAAATAACTAACTAACTAAATAAAAATAAAAAAATCAATAACGGTTGGCGTTAACAAACAAGATAAAAAAAATTGCATAGATACACCTCAAGTACACTCAAATATATATATTATATCATGTTCATCTTTTTTGTGATAAAGCTTGTGTTAAATTCTTGTATTCAGTACATTGTTCGTCTTTGTTTTAATACTTATCCATTTTTTTTATACACAAATGCAAATTCTTGGGCAAGAACCCGCTACTGTCATTTTTAGTAGACCATAATTCCAATGGTTTGCCTTTAATCGGCATAAAAAAAACTTTGAAAAGTCAAACATTACTTTTAATGTTTAACCTAATGTGTAAATGTATTATTGTTATTGTATGATATGTATTATTTTCTATTGTTCTTGTTGTTCTGTATTTGTTGATACAATATGTAGGCTAAGTCGGCATGAACAAAAAAAAATCTAAAACAATTCAGCTATTCCTTTACGTAATCACGCAATGACGCTTATTATAAATTCATATTTCCCAGTTCAGTTAACTGTAGACATTCAACTAATAAATGAATAGTCATTCAAAACATATCAGCATATCACTTATCGGCTCATTGCGAGTAACGTTAGTGTATTTTCTGTCCGAATCCTGAAAGAATTATCCAGATCGTTTTTGCAAACCGGTTCAAACGATTCATTGAAAGATCCCACTCAAAAAGAACAATTTCTTTCAAAAATTAGTATTTGCTATTTCCAGAAATAAAGTTAAACTTCTCCTGGCTGTTTTAAACCACATGAAACGGTTTTAAATGACATACAATGCAATGAAAAAAACATATATACATTTTTAACACCACAGACAGTGCAAGAATCCAAGATTTATATGCCAAATCGAAGGTCTCGATCAAGCTCTACACACTATGCAAGGCTGGTACAAAATTTATAAAACTAAATTTAGTAAATGTCGTCTTGACGTTTATTATCAGCGTTTTTCAAAAAGCTGGGCGGTCTGAGCCAGGGTTGCCAGGTTTCAGCAACAATACCCTCCCAATTGCTACTCAAACCTAGCCCAAAACTAGCCCAATCGCATTTCGAGGTGAGCTCCCCGTTAAAAATCGCGCTCTGGGGCTAAAATACACGTTTTTGGCAGGGCTCCCCTGGTAAAATTCGCACTCCATGGGCTAAATATCACGTTATCGGGGTCGCTTTAACCCGCGGCAACAGTGATAAAGTAGCTCAATTCCGCCGGGAAACCGCGGACTTGGCAACACTGGTCCGAGCATCAGTCCATTTGCGATCTTCCGGTGTGGGCGGAGCTTACATTCTGTGTACGTAGATAAAAAAAATCGACGTAGTTTTCTCTTCATCCTCAATAGTTTGAGTTCGTAGTATTTGTGACCGTCTCCAGCTCATTTTTACAAACCACCAGCATTTGTAACGATGGTCGCCAAACAGAGGATTCGTATGGCCAACGAGAAACACAGCAAAAACATCACCCAGAGAGGCAACGTCAAATCATCGGTACGACAACTCTTCTTGATGCTCGATAATGTAACAACAGAAGTGAAATTAACTTAATGTAAGGTATTAGCTTAACTGATTTTAAAGTGAAGCGTTTAAAGGTATTATTAATATTAGGAATTATTATTTTTGCAGTGAAATAGTGGTTCGCAATACTGCTGTGTATGCTTTTATTGCTAAATCCCACTGCGCTACTACTAACTACCATACAACTAAAAACTGCGCGATTGCATCTGATTTCATGTCAATTGACGCAGAGAAACGTCAGTGATGATAAAGTTTCGGTGGGACCGTGGCTCTTGGCGCTCTTCGTCTTTGTTGTCTGCGGCTCAGGTGAGTACTTACCAATACAAACGATTTCCAAGTGATCTGTCATATCTTAGACCAAATAATAAACACATGAAAATAAATAGTATTTTATTTTTATACTAGCATATATTGCGGTTTTTGTTTAGTCCCAAGGTAGGTAGACAAAGCTGACCTCCACTCATTTTTTGGCACACTGTAAAACCTTGCACTGTAGTGAAGGCCGAGATAATAATGCACACTATTTACATGGACAATGCTGGACTGATAGCATGACTTTATCTGCTTATTTTCACTGGGTACAACACGTGGATCTGCAGGTGCTGTTACTCTTAAAACAGCATTGAAGAACATGTGCTTTAGGTATTCCCAGGAAGAGCAATGGATCTCATTGCCAGCTGGCTTGGAGGCGTTGAGACATAGCTTGAAAGATGTAGCCTTTTTGACAATGTCATAAATAGCCCCATCTGGATTTGATGTGGCACATGCTCTGACCTGATTTATGGGTTGCTGCCAGTTCTTGCAGAGTTTTTACCTGTTGACATCTAGAATATGTTTGCTTTGAACAAATGACATTTTCGGTGCATGATTTTGGTCATCTTGCTCTCTGTTTGCTTGCCCTAACTTTTTGTGTTTTGGAGAAGCATAAGGTTTACACTGTTAGAGATGACACTCATTGGGAAAAGCAGATAGGTTTCTTTTTGTGAGAGAAAAGAGTTGAGAAACATAAATATCCACTAGCACAATGGCCCGTTATATCCTGCTTAATACCGAAGCTGGCATTTATGTTAAGCCTTGACTTCATCAAGCTCAGGTTATCAATACTCTTCCTCCTCAACTTTTCCGAAGGCTGGAATGTCAGCCTTCTATAATGTTTTTTTTTTTTTCCTCCTCAGCAATATTCCAGATCATTCAGAGCATTCGAATGGGCATGTAAAGAGGACCAATGATGTCTCAAGTATCCTCTCCTTGCCAATTCCACATACTGCAACTTTAAGAAGGAGCCTCTCTTCAAGGCTTTTTGCTGATTTTATTGGTTTATCTTCTATGAGGTGCAGCAATCTTGTCATTCGTCTCTGGTGCCTTGTTAATGAAGAAAAATCAAAAAGCCATAAAATTGCATTCCGATCAATTGTAATGTTTTTTTGTCAATTTACCTTGATGTAATTTAAAAATCTTGATATGTCTCAAGCAGTGATGTGATTTGTAATTCCTGACTTCTCGTTCATTCCTGAAATAATTGTGAAGAAATTATTTAATGTCTTTTTGACCCCCCCAAATCTAAATCACAAATGTAAAAATGTCTCTTCTCACGCATTGTATTACTTTTCTTTTCCTTGTTTTCTTTGTAATTTAATAGCTGCCTCCTTCCTTCTAGAATATGGAACTTTAACCTGAAAAATGTAGTTCTCTGGCACATATTCTTGTCGTTGTGGTACTGTTAACCATAATAGAATGTGGCTTAGCAATTCAGCTTTTTTTCAGAACTGATGCTGTTATATACTGTATGCTATGATAGCGAGATGGAGTGAAGAGGAACAGAGCTGGACTAAAATAAAATTTTTAAAAATGGCGTGTTTTATTAAAATTTTTATTAATTTTATATTTTTATTATTATCGGCTAGTTGATGATCTTAACAACAATCTGAAATGTTTGTAATTTAACCAACAGTTATCTAAGGTGTGTCAACTACCCATTAAAACTACAAGCAGGAGTATACATTGCTTATATTTATTACCAATAGAGAGACTGGTATAATGACATAATCGAAATAATTACACAAAATAATACATGAACAATAAGGAGCATAAGAGTGCAATCTAGTAGGTTAAATGAAACATACCATATTTGAGCTGTTTATACTGACTTTAAAGGGGTCATATGATGCGATTTCAAGTTTTCCTTTCTCTTTGGAGTGTTACAAGCTCTTGGTGCATAAAGAAGATCTGTAAAGTTGCAAAGACTAAAGTCTCAAATCCAAAGAGATATTCTTTATAAAAGTTCCACGTTAAAGAGTCAGCCACACCTACCTAAAACGGCTCGTTCTAACACGCCCCCACATGTCTACGTCACTATGTGGAAATATTAGCATAACACCACCCAAATGTTCACGCAAAGAAAGAAAGCATAACTTTTATTCTCGCTGTAGTATTGTTGACACTGCAGCCATGATTTGAAAAATAATGTGTTTTTTGAACATTAAAGCATGTCAACATATTCCGTTACACCAAATACACAAAATAATGATCTTTAAAATAGCATCATATGACCCCTTTAAAAGGACTGAAAACAAGGAACTATGTTCTCACCAGAATTCTGTCCAGGACTAATTGATTACATTCTGTCGTGATTTCTACATTGTTTAAATGATTACTTTTTCATTTTGAATTACTTTCATTGACTTGTTTAGATGGATAAAACATGCCAAAGACCGCAGCATCACTCAAAGATATTCAGTGGTTTACATTTGACTTGCCAATTGTAAGTGTCTCACAATGGGAGTCAGTGCAGAGTTGATTGCATTTTAAGGTGTTAATCTTGTTCATTCTGGTATGAATTAAGCATTTCATTTGTTGAAAACAAAGATAAGCGACATTAAACATACTTAAAGTCTATTTTGAACTACAGACACTGTAGTTTTGTCAATTTGTAAATGTTTAGAAAGACCAATGTATTTGATTAAAATTGTTAAAATGTTTAAACGTGTCAGTGAATACATGTGTCAAATCTTACATTTTATCTTTGGTTGCTAGTTCCAGTTCATTAAAAAAAAAAATCCATCAGATTTGACTTAATTATAAACAAGTATTGTTGAAAATAAGTGGGTGTTGACTATTTTATATTAAAATTATATACTTTAATATTACATTTAGACTGTTCAGGAATGATAAAAATAAAATGTTAAATATACGTTAGACAAATTATTGATAAACATTTAAGTGCAGTTAAGTGCTGAATAATTCTGAACAGAACCAACAAGAGTATGAACTGTTTTTATACACTCTACTTACATTCACATATAGTCTCCGGATGGCGGCGGTATGGAGCCATCAGTTCTCTTTTACTTTCACTGGCTGCGAAGAAGAGCGGAACCGCTGTAGTTGCTGTGGATACGTGAAGTTTACAACTCTCAAAGTCAGGCAAGAAAATTAATTAATTTTCTTATTAGCAATTGTCTACTTAAGTCATTGGCGGCTTAATTCTGTAAGTGAAAATCCTTGGTCAAACCTATAAATTTACGCGAAATAACGCTTATTACAACAGTCTGTGAATGTTTCAGCTTGGACTAGCAGTGTTTGTTCATTCAGTGTTTGTATGATTAGACTGAAGAAAAACACACAGACAAAATGTAATTTTGCTGCAGATATGTCATGTTTGCTTGTATACTTTGCATAAAGACCAGCTTTTCCAGTTAGTATAGTAAGAAAGGATAAGACCAAGTGTATATATATATATATATATTAATGAGGGATTTGTGGGTTTCATTTTCGTTCACTTTATTATTTAATAATTGCATGGGTCAATTATACATTCCTGATGTGCATATCTTTGATATGCATTAAAACCTATACTATAGGCTTATTCAGTGCAGCCATTCAGTTCGAAAGTATAGTGTCTCAAATATTACAAATCATCAATTAAAATAGGTGCAATTAAGCATGTCATAGAGTACTCTACGGCTGCAACAACTAATCGATAAAAATCGATCATGTAAATAATCGACAACGAATGTCATTATCGATTCGTCGCGTTTGCACACCGCGCACGGAAAACTTCCGCCAGTCACGTTAAATTACAGCAGTGAATAACGCATTTCTATGGATGAAATGCATCTAAAAATAGCGGATGAAACAGAGTGAGCTGCTGCGGGAAAGATGCGTGATCCTATTTTATTTCTATTCTATCTACTTTTCTTTTTATTTATTAAACAAAAAAAAAACCTTAACCCTCTAACACTAGCACTCTTTATTCTCTTTTGATTCTATCTTCTTGTTTTCTTTTTATTTATTATAAAAAGTAATGATAACCTGACACTCTAACACTAGCTCCCTCTATTCTGTTTCTATTCTATCTACTTTTTATTAATTATAAAAAAAAAAAAAATGCTATGTGTACTGCAGTAGACTATCCGGGACTTGTCACAGCACTAACATTTTGTTGCTCTTTTGTTGGTTTGATTGCTTCTATTGTCCTCATTTGTAAGTTGCTTTAGATAAAAGCATCTGCTAAATGATTAAATGTAAATGAATAATGTTACATTTTGTGCTATGACAACTAAAATAACAAATGTTTCTATCAGTTTCCCTTAATAACACACTGGCTGATGCATCAACATCCTGCACATGCTACATTTATATCTAAACATGTTACAATTTAAAAGTAAAAGCACATTGTTCTTAAGGGGGGCATCTTACCCCGTCTTACCGTACACAGGTGTCTTGTTAGTTTAGTGTCTTCTGCAGTATGTTCAGTGTTGAATTTCTCATGTGTTGATTTCTTTTGTCTTTGTGCACCTAAAGGCTTTATAAGATGTCTCCATCACTGACTGGTGTTTAGAGCAACTTTCCAGCCCAGTCTACATTCACTATGCTGCAAGCAGAGACGCTCCAACTGCTGTGCCTCACAGCCTCCAGTGGGGTCCCTCTGTTCTCACGAGGCTCCTCCAAGCAGCTTCCCTTTTCCATCATCGGCTCCCTAAATGGTGTCCATATGTTTGGCGCCGGCCACGAGGCTCAGTTAGCATGCTGTGAGACGGATCGAGGGAGTCGTGTGGTTTGGGGGGTCTTTCAGGAGAGCCTGATGCTGATTGCGGTGAGTGGTGATGGCGGCTCTTCCATCAGTGAGTTGCAGTTGCGCCGCCTGCTGGAGAACGTGTGGAACTGCATGGTCCTGGTCCTGGGACAGGACGAGCTGACAAACATACGCAACGTGGAGCGGCTAAAACGGGAGTTGCGCTCTTGCTACCGCCTGATCGACCTGCTCTTGGAACGTGTCAGTGACAATCAGGGATTTATGGGAGATCTGACGCAGTGTGCCGACTGTTTGCTTCCCTCCCACTCCGGCTTGCTTCAGGAAGCCCTAGACTCTTTCGCCCAAGCAGCAGAGAGTGAATTTGGCTGCCTGCTGGTGCACGGCTGTGTGGCACAGGCCACGGAGAAGTGGTGGTCTCGACTGACGTCCCAAGAAGTTGTTGTGCTCTCAGTCTTGGTGCACTCACTTTCTGGTGCATCTTCATGTGACTACCCGGTCTTCCTGCCCCAAGGAAGTCCTACCGTCGCCATTCGCTTGCTCAGTTTCCAACTACTTCCTGGAGCTCACGTGTGCGTCCTCTGTGGCCCCAAACCTTCTTTGCACAAGGCAGAGAATGAGCTCATTGGTCGTTTTTGGTCCACTTTTGTGGAGAACCTGCGTAGCTGTTTGGAGCATGCTGAACGTTCCACTCTTCCCTCATCTGTTAGCCTTCGCTGGGACGTCCAGGCTCTTCTGCTCATCAACCGTGAATCTCGACGTGCCGTCACCGTCTGCCCTCGTGTTCGCAGTGGCGCTCCCTCAGAGGCTACGCCTCTCCTCTCGTCAGGCAGGCGTTTGGAGCTCCTCCGCCTCTTTTATACATTTGCAGTGACTCGATATTTTACCTCTCAGGAGACATCAGTTTCGTCAGCCTCGGAGGATTTCTCTCAGGGCTTTACCCACGTCCCTGTGCAGTGTTACCTTGTCACTGATGAGTGTAAGTGTTATGGCCTGCAGAGTTCCCAACACCAGCTCTTCGTCCTCATGGATCTCTCTGTGCCCACGTTTGCCTTGCGTTCTGTGGCTACACAGACTCTCTCAGCGATTACTGCTGCAACTGGTTTTTAGGGCATTTGTTTGGACATGTATGGGTTACTTAAAGAGTTGGTTCACCCAAAAATGAAAATTCTGTCATTAATTACTCACCCTCGTGTCGTTTCAAACCCATAAGACCTTCGTTCATCTTCATTCCATCAAAAATATCTTAATCTGTGTTCTGAAGATGAACGAAGGTCTTACGGGTTTGAAACAACATGAGGGTGAGTAATTAATGACAGAATTTTCATTTTTGGATGAACTATCCCTTTAACCAGGTACCGGACTTACTGGATTTGTAAAAATGAACAGCTCAAGCATTAATAGTAGAGGATAGTTCACAAAAAATTAAAACTCTGTCATCATTTTCTTACCCTCATGTCCTAGTATGACCTGTTTGAGTTTGTGTTTTCTGTGAAAAACTAATTTCTAAAAATTGTCCATACAATGACTCAGCATACGATCGAAACAACATTGAATGCCATTGAGAAAAAAATGCCAAGACATTTAGCCAAATATCTTATTTTGTGTTCCATAGAATAAAGAAATGCATGCAGGTTTGGAACAACATGAGGGTGAATGATGACAGAACTTTCGTTTCGGGTGAACTATCCCTTTATTAACTGGTCACTGACGATTTCTGGCTGTGATCATCAAGGTTAAGGCTCCTAGCTTGTTGTATTTTAATCAGAAGAAGATTTTTGGTAACACTTTACAATAAGGTTCAGTTTGAACTAACGATGAAC